GTTCTGTATTTATAGAGCCCTGATGAGAAGACTTCTAGACAACCATGAGGAACTGAAAACGTGACGTGGATCATAAATATATCAGCCATTAAACAACATCTTACATTTCTTTTCACACAATACGTCTCCTTGCAGTATCAACACTAATTCGGCTGACTTTTATATTTGATCCAATTGGTAGATAGGCTGTATTTACACCATAAAGGTGCACAGCTGATATAAAGGGACACCTAGTGGTTAAAGCATGTTATTGAATTTCATTATTTTTATTATTAGATATTAATAGGATCCCTATAAAGTATATTCATTACTCGTTATTCTCTACAAATAGTTAATTAAAGACTGTATATAATGACTATTTTGCACATCCCTTTCAAGATTTTCTAAGGTTTATTGACATATCATATAGGCCTACACAACTATGGTGTAGTTCTGCAGTGAATGAAAAACTTGGGTCGCAGGTTCCTCAATAGTGCATTACAAGACATCTATCAATATTTGTGCATACCTCCAGCAATGTTAACTATGTTGAAGCACTTATTTTAACTGATATTATACATAATGTATTATACTCTTATAAGATGTATGTAGATATTTCATCTCCGGCCTTGTCAGGTATTGAACAATCAATAAATAAAGAACACAGAATTGTTAAATATAAAACACAGAATTTGTGTGATTATACTAAATGATTTACAAATAAACACCACTGCATATTTACAACTGTTACACATGCTGATGTAACGCAAATGTTCCAACTTGGGATCAATAAAGTATATCTTATTTTAAGCTGATCGATGGCTACTGCCATATTTGCAAAATTTGCCTCTGAACCTTGACAAGTGCATGTTTCAGGCTTATCAATTAATGTAATGTAATGTTATCAATTAACGACAGGGGTCACAAACATAAGACCAGCTGTTAAATAAAGCTCTTCTGGCATGTGTGTATATATATTAATGCTGCCCATTATGGGCACAAGCAATTTTCACCCATTTATTAATTATATGTTTTAAATTTGAGTGTTTCCTATCCCCTAAACCTCCAGGGATGTACACAGTTTAATACTGGCAACTTCTTATTATGGGAAATACGAAAACGTCTTTTAAAACTACAACTCCCAGTAGAGACGTGCCATAGATAGAGAACATGTTGCGAAACAGAATAGCCAGCATGTGTAGTTCTGGGGTGGGGGAGGGGGGGACGCGGTGGACCCGTTCAAATCCAGTTTTGGACAGTCTGCCGTGCATGGTTCCATCCCATTTCAAGTGCTGTTCGAGAATCGGCGTAACCCTCGGAGCACACTCTCCAATCACAGAGCTTAAGGACTATCACGGGGTTTGTCAAACAGAGCACATGGTGTAGTCCAAACGATAGCTGGGGATTCTGGATAGTGTAGTGTCTTCTGCCATCCTTTACTCAGAAAAAAAATGTGTTTCTCCGAATCGAAGGGGAAAAATACAAAAGCATTGCACACAATTTAAACCAATCAATGTTGTGTAATTAACAAGGATAATCTGGTGTTTTTTAGTCGATGAGTAGTGCAGATATCACTGTAAAATCAATCGACAGTAAGAGGAATACTTACTTCCGGGTGTACAATTCTCCGTTATCCAATGAGAATGGACGCTCACATTGCCTTTAAGGGCAGCCGACACAAACGAATGCCGTGCTTCCATGAGCGTCAAATCCCGCCGCAGATGGGAATACATTGCAATCAGTTGAAAGCTATTTGCATCCCTTTATGACGCTGAAGGAGCCTAGCAGCGTCACAACTGGACGCCACGGACACTGACCAAACGTCGCTCCTGGACGCTTAGGGAGTGAGAGTGTGTTGGTTCAGCAGCTGCGCTGATCGAACACCTCCCTGGCGATTTATGTAGGCCGCCGCTGCTTTGTTGTCTGTTCGAATCAACACATGTTGATTGTACAGCAACAGGGCGAAGTGCTGGATTACTTTCCATATAGTAATTCCAGCACGTTTATATGGAGAGACATGTGACCCGGCTACTGTCCCCCCACTGCCTGCGACATGCACGTTCCTCAGCCTGCGAGAGATGCGTCTGTGAACACTGTGGTGTGTGATGTCACTCTGCTCAGGGGCACCCCCACTGACGTGGAGATTTTTCCAGTGGGTTAAATCCAAACCCACGGAAGGAGGAATGTACACCATGCGTCTCCTCTGACGCACGGGGTCGATACGCAGGCAAATAAACCACCTCTGGAGTCTCCTCACTGTGAAGGAGACCCAGGGGGATCACCACGTGACCAGCTGATATCATACCTAACAGCTGCATCACGGAGAGGGCCGTCACCGCCCCGCGGGGTGTGACGCGCCGGAGGAGAGCTGTCCGAGCTGCTTAAAAACCGGGAGGTAAGAGGACAGCTCTTCTTCCAGTTGATAATGACACCCAGGCTTGACAGATGAGATACGAACTGTATCGTCTGAAAAATCGCCTCCTCCCTGGAGCGAGCCAGCCACAGCCGGTCGTCCAGGCAAAATAACCCTCATCCCCATTCTGAGTAGCTGCTTCAACCGTCTCCACCCACTTTGAAAAAAGTGTGTGGAGCCAGGAATGAGAAACGCAGGAATTTGCTGTGTTTCGGGATGATGGTTACGTGGAGGTAAGCATCCTTCAGGACTATGGATGTGCACCTCCCTGGTGAACACACTCCAGCACCTGTTTGACCGGTCGGATGAGGAGAGCCCCTCCAATCGCACATTTCATTTTGTACACCACCGCATCTTTTGTGTAATTAAATGCTGTTAACTTTTATAAGCTTCCCTTGACTATTTTCAGTCTCTCCTGCCTTCGGGGTTCTAGAATACACTAATAGTAACAACCCCTGATTGTCTTCCCTTTGAGGAACCCCGGGAAAAGGCTTTCTTTAACCAGAGTTCCTGCCGCTCTGCACGGAGCGCGAGACACTGTTCCTGGGATGACAGGACTTCCTGTATCCCGAAGAACTGCGGGGGGGAGAAGCGAATTGCAGAGACTACCCTCTGCCCATCCGCCTGCTCATCCATCTGTCCATCAGACACACTCGCCGCCACCCTGAGTACCATACAGTACTCTGATAGCGCCGGGTGTACATTCTCTGGCTGTGCTGTGGTTGGTGACAAACCATGCCAGATCCCTCCACACGCTGCATTTCACACAGGCTCTCAATTCGTTTAGGAGAATACTCGTAAACTGCGCGTTCACGCTCAACACCACTAAGGGATGAGCGGAGGTGTGTGCAGTGCTGTCCACACGAGGCGTAATAATGGCCCTCCGTGGGCTCATTATGGGTAGGAGGTGTCTGAGACAGAGGAAAAATCCATGCTGCCTAAACCCAAAAAGTTTACGGTAGACGGATTTGAAATAGCAAGCCCAGCTGTTTTATTAACCGATAAGTTAAAAAACCCAGCCGGCTTTAGGCAGCGAGCCATGCTGCCAAGTAACCAATAGGCTATTGGCAGCTGGCTTAACCGGGGAGCCTTGCTGCATATTAACTTCCCTCTGTCCATCTAACCCACGCGCCATCACTCAAGGCGCGAACCTGCTCTGGATGTGCTGTGGTTGTCATGGTGACGAGCCACGCCAGAGCCCTCCAGACGTTGCATTTCACGCAGGCTCTCCTTATGTCGCGTTTAGGAGAAGGCTCGTAAACCGGACATTTAAGGTGCGTTCACGCGTGTGTGCAGTGCTGTCCACACTGTAATAATGGCACTCGTGGCTCATTACGACGGTGTGTAGGAGGTAGGTTTGGGACAGAGGAAAAAATCCGAGCTTCCTAAAAACCAACAGGTTTTAAAGACAGCCGGTTATGCAGCGAGCCATGCTGCCTATAACCGACAGGTTAGGGGCAGCCGGCTTACCCGGTGGGCCTTGCTGCTTATTATTTTATCAATCTGTCCATCGAATACACGCGTCGCCACTCTGAGTAATACTCTGAGAGCGCACGCATGTTTTGGATGTGCTGTGGTTGTCATGGTGACAAGCCACGTCAGAGCCCTCGCCGCCGTTGACCGTGAAGCAGCCCAAGAGGGGCCCGGACCGAAAAGGCTGCGAGGGGCCCTCCACACGCTGCATCTCACACCGGCTCTCATCCTGTCTCTGTTTCGGAGAAGGCTCGTAAACTGGACATTGAGGCGCGTTCACGCTGAAACCCGCTGAGGGAATGAGCGGAGGTGTGTGCAGTGCTATTCACACAGTGCGTAATAACAGCCCTGGGTCATTCCTAGCATTCAGTGCCATTTAGGTCCCCAACACATTATATCATATATTTTGCATGTAAAAGGTCAAATGCTTATTTTTAAAAGCTTGGTGTTACATGTTTATTCCCCTCTACTATAAAACATCAATGTTATTTTCCCAGGATATTCAAAATGTTAAATAATTACTCTGATTTTAGCACAAGTAGGCCAAATTGCTGTGTCCCAAATCATGTTTGCTCAACTTCTCTAACAGATATAAACAAATAAATCAAACAAATACAAACAAATTCTACATTTGTGTCACTGTTGTGTAACCCTTTTATTAATATTCCTCACCAAATAAAAAAAAAAAATGGTAATTCATTTTTATTGATTAAAGTTTTTTAAAAAGTGTGTGTCCCCTGTTTTAATGTCCGCCCTGTTACTCTAATTTGAATCCCTCTGGTACGGTGGCCGGCAGGTGCAAACGCTAAACAACGGCCAAAAACACACACATAAGCAGGAAACACCTGCAAATAATGAAATGAAAAACCAACAAACCCTGAAAACACATACAACAGAAAAACGCTGCATTTACAGAAATGATGCAAGCTAAACCTACAACACACAAACCCCGAAAACAAACGCAACAGAAAAACGCTGCAAATACAAAAACGATATGCAAAGTCAAAAGCACATACAACCGAAAAACACATTACAAAAAAAAAAGACATTACAAAAAAAAAACATTCCGGAAGTGCTTCAGGCCTCTAGGGGGCGCGCTACGTGGAACAGATCGATGTATGACCAGACATAGAGAGAACGAACAAGAGGAAATAAAGTTCATTTAAGTGGAGAAAGATATAAGAAGGTAAGTTTTTTTGTTTTTTTTTATACATAGAGCGTCATATTTATATAGCTAGCGTTAGCGTGCCTAACTACTACACCAGCTGAGGAGAGCTTCACGTGAAGAGAAGATAAAGTGAGGGAAGAACATTGTAAAGAGATGACAAATCAAGTGCAGGCAAATAACACGGGCCATAGTGAGTACCGCGGAAAAAGGACATTTGAATTCTTAGCAGTTTGTTTATATTTATGTATTTGTGTATAGATGTTGCAACTATACAGAGCTTTAGCAATTGCCTGTAACTATGGTCATGCTAATAAAGCTATTGAATTGAATTGAGAGAGAAAGAGAGAGAGAAAGTGACAAAATGTGAAGAGGGACAAAGTAATGACAGGATAGTAGTGTCCATTAGACATTCAAGGAGAGAGAGAGACAAATCACAGATTCAACGGTGAACATGATGTATCTATTTATTTAGCTAACCACTATTTAGACTATGTGTTTTTGATTGACTTGATTACATGGATTCACTACATCAATGTATGTCTTTTCAGGCTGCCATGTTTTGTCCTTTCTGTGGCCAACATCTGTGGACAGTTCAAGTGCTATGTGGCTCCTGTGGCAAACATGTACAGTTTTTGGCAGAAGTTGAACACAACAGTAAGTTCACTTTTTGTATTGTATCTGTTTCAAATGCAAGAAATAAGGATTCAACACACTGCTCTGTTTAGAATACTAATTGCAGATGCATACACTAGTTATCAGCATGAAGGACACATTTTTTCATTGTCTGTTTATGTGAAATATGTAGAAGCCATCATTAAATTGTAGACCAACGCATGATTAAATACACAAAACAGCTTATATTATACATTCATAATTGTGTATTAGTTATATCTTTATAAAGAACATTATACATTTAGAATCAGATTTTGAGACAGTGAGCCATGACATGATGTTTTCTTCTTTTTCTCCTTGTGTTTTTGAACTATAGAAGTTGCAATCATCCTCCCAGCATGAAAGTATTCGTCATCTTTTGCAGCTGTTGATATTTTTTGTTAAATTATTATCACGTTAACCAACAGTTGCCACGTTATCATAAAGATATACAGTATAAGATAATGTAATTGTCACGTAAATCAAGCTGCAAAATCCATAAGCAGCTCCTATATTTACAGTACAGTATTGAACATAAGACAGATTTGCAACATCATTACCTGCATTGTCGAACTTGAGGAATTTCCTGTCCTGTGGACCATCAAATATTCTTCTCATTCTCAGGCATTCCATTAGGAGGGTCAGGAACTCACGCTTGGGACCACCAGTGTCCACTCCATCCTCAGTTTGTCCCTCATCCTCAGTTTGTCCCTCATCATCAGTAAACTTAACCTGCATCTGATGAGAGGGGTCGAATGAGGCCCCTTTGAAGCCGCGGATTGCTCCATCCCACACATTGGCTCTATTAATATTGAACCTGCTGCAAGAGGTATTTTAAATTTTTGCAGAGTTCTGCAACAATGTCTGGCGCAGTCAGGTATTCTGTGCTGGGAAAGACAAAGTGATGTATTGTAATATTAAATGATGAAGCTAGTAATAAGATTTACAGTATAGAATAAAAAAATTAAGTGATAAAAGTAACATTTAATACATTTCCTCTGCAGTTTGCTCCGTTTCCTCTTCTGGCTCAGACTGGCTGTCAATAATGATAAGTGCATACACAGTTGTGTAGCTGCTGCAGTGAGAAGATAGTTGAATAATTACTTTCAAATACATAATATATGCATGACAGTCATATTTGCAAAAGGATGTCGATCCTCTTCCTGTTTTTTTTAATACATTGGGTTCTAAACTGACAACAGCACTTTGTCATACTCCTGCACAATCCTTGTAAACATTTGAAATGGATGCAACAAACAATATCTGACCTTTGAAAAATATTTGTGGGTGTTTTTTGTATCGTCTTCACTAAGATGTCAGATGTTGTGGGTGTCCTTTGGAAATGTATGAAAGTATAATTGTTCTGCTTCCTGGCAATATTACCCACTGTGATTGGAGGCTATGCAAACAACCAAATGTACAAATACAAATACACACCAAACAACTGTGTCACGATGCAACTGTCAACATCGTTTACCTATAGAAGGTGTTCTGACCCGGGGCAGACTGGACCTCTTCCTGGAATGGGGTTGGTTCTCCATCCTACTTTTACCCAATAAATAATGATGCAGTTGATCTAATGACAGTGTCATTAGCACACAAAGGTATTTATTGATTTCATGTTCACAAATTCAAACCTACATGGTATAATTACATTTGTAATTAGTCTTACCCGATCAGACGCTGGTTGTGGGTGCCTGAGAGGTCTGATAAAGGTAAACAAAAAATATATTCAAACTACTGTACTGTTAAAACATTCTGCTTCTTGTGGCACAAAATAACATGTTGACAATGTTGTATTTTACCCTGGCAAACTGTTGTCCATTCTGGGAGTGCTCTGTTCATTTGGAAAGTCCCACACCTGCATACAACACACAAATGACTGACTGAAATAAAATAAATTCACTATAATTAAGAATAAATGCCACGATAGATCCAAACTGACCACGGTGTCAGCAAGACTGTCTCCAGATGGCAACTTTGCAACAACCACACTGTCCTCGTCACTTGAAGAGGTTGTTCCAGTGTAACCTGAGAAAATAAAAGTGTCATGATTAATACTATACAAATAATTGTTCCCCTACGTCTGTACCTATCATCAAATGTTGGTTTGAATCCTGAATAATTGGATTGACATCAATCAGAAAGGATTCAATCGAAACACAAAATGTTTGTGAAATGTACATTATATTGTTGACCGTCTTTTTCACTCTCACATTAGGATTTAGGGCACAACAAACCAACATTGTTGTGAGAAAAAAGGTTAATTTAGAATTACAATCCTTAAGAGGGAATTTATATTTAGTTTGAACAGAAGGAAAGTTTGGAAGCTTTTGTTGATACTTAAATTCCATTTATTCTGCCACTATTCATAAAAGACCATTTGACGTCATAAGTTCAACCACGAAGAGATAGGAATGATGGGTGGAATGAATTGTGTTAAGAAATATAGACAGAACAACTGTTATGTTTACATTTGAACTATTATACAGTTTAGTGCTTTAAACAAGGGGGAATATATGTCAGAAGCACTTACAACTGTTTTCAACGGCTTCAAGAGTACAGATGTACAACGTAATTCGTTGGTAGGGCTTTCCAATGGCCTCTTTTGTACATCTGTACTGTGAAAGGGGTGTCCGTTCCGGGGATATTTGTTATCACCCTCGCATCAGGGTACAACAAGACATGGGCACCATCTTCCAAGTCCTGGTTAAAGGCTTTCTGCTTTTTTATGGCAGCAGCCAACAGTTCTTCACATGCCCATTGAGGTTCGACATTAAGGGGAAGTGACCTCCCTCTCAAAGGTTTAAGGCAGCCATCCATCCTCCTCATTACTCCAACAGAAATCTGCAAAAAGACAATAATATGCAAATGAATAAAACATTTTTTCGGACATTATATGAGAGTGTGGTGAGCAGATTTGAATGACAGATGTATTCATAACAGAAAACGTTGCATACCTTCACCAATTTCTGTTTATTTTTGGAGTTATGCCGTCCCTTTGTAAAAAAGGTCTCTCCCTCTTTTTTATTTCCCTATATTTCTGAAAGGACTCTACAGCTGAGCTTCCTGCTACAAAAAAACAGGAATAAAACATTCATTACTCTTCATTATGTTCAATAGGAGTCTCATCCTCAATCCCTTCTGAGGAACATCTTATAACACATTCAACAGTAGGTAAGCCACATAGTTTAGAGATGTATTTGTATAATAACAGAATTCGAACTTTTAAACCAAGTTTTCTATAAATACTTATTGTTTGGTAATAAAACGAACAACCTATTTACCTGCACTGGTGCTAGGCTGTGCACTTAGATGCGCACTAGTGGTGGGTATCTCCTCAGGGACTTTGTTAGTCACATCTTTTAGAAATGTGATGTCTCTGCCACAGACAGCACAAAAGCCATGCGAAGATGTCACGCTGGCACCACAGAATGGACAGTACATCTGTGGAGAAATAAAATGTAGGACAGCTAGGTTAAGTCAAAAAGAGTGGATCTTTTTCGGCTACCTAAATATTATAATAGTATTAAAGAACGGTCTTTCAATTAACTCATCAGAAGCCAACCTCCTGTCTATCCCCCCACAAACCAAGCACCGAACCTGGGGGGACAGAGCTTTCTCCATCGCTGCCCCCTCCCTCTGGAACTCACTCCCATTAAACATCAGAGACTGCTCCGACCCCCCCACCTTCAAAACACACCTCTTCAGACTGTCTTTTAATGTGGGAATAATGTTGTGGTGCTGTTTTAATATTTTAATTCAACTTTTTACATTTGATTTCCTTTTTATCACCGCATCGCATTTGCGGCTCAGTTGAGGCCCCCTCCACGAGGTGAGGGCGTGAGACCCCACCCAGTCTGTGTGATCTGCGTGTAGGGAGGGGCGTCCCGGTTCTATACTATATCTCTATTATGTCAAGAGTTACATTTAGGTACACAATGGCTCTTGCAAGCTCTTTGATCAAACACGCTAACGCTAGCTACGTAAATATGACGCTCTATGTATAAAAATAAAACAAAACTTACCTTCTTATATCTTTCTCCACTTAAATGAACTTTATTTCCTCTTGTTCGTTCTCTCTATGTCTGGTCATACATCAATCTGTTCCACGTAGCGCGCCCCCTAGAGGCCTGAAGCACTTCCGGAATGTTTTTTTTTTGTAATGTCTTTTTTTTTTGTAACGTTATTCGGTTGTATGTGCTTTTGACTTTGCATATCGTTTTTGTATTTGCAGCGTTTTTCTGTTGCGTTTGTTTTCAGGGTTTGTGTGTTGTAGGTTTAGCTTGCATCATTTCTGTAAATGCAGTGTTTTTCTGTTGTATGTATTTTCAGGGTTTGTTGGTTTTTCATTTCATTATTTGCAGGTGTTTCCTGCTTATGTGTGTGTTTTTGGCCGTTGTTAAGCGTTTGCACCTGCCGGCCACCGTACTAACCTGTGTCTAACACGTAATGTGGAGAAAGAGATGTCCTGTATGGGTTGATTGTGCGTTGATCTGTTGGTAATGCCTCGGGGGTTCCGGTGGGCATGTAAACAAATGCATAATGCTGCGCTATACTTTGTAGCCTCACCCAGTTGCATAGCGACACTTATTGTGTAGGTGTCTTTTGATAAGCAGGTAGTCATATCATTAGCTAGAATTAGCTAGATCTGATCGATATGGACATAAACAGGAGTGAAGTCTAATCTGACGGGAGAGAGAGATCAGCTGCTGCTGACGAGTCGACACGCAGCTCTGCATGATCACATGCAGCGGTGAGCGGAACAAAACACACACCAGGTTAGGCTAGGCTTGTTTGAGACAAGCGAGACCTGCGCAGACCTGCGCCGTTGTGATCAACGTCTTGCTAGTGCGTTGCATGATGGTTAGTCATTTTGTCCGGCTTGCATTTTTTAAACGTGGGAAGAGGTGGGGCGGCGCCCCTAGCGCCCCTATGGGCCGGCCGCCACTGCTCATTACTGATCCGCGAGCTGCATGATACTGACGGGCTGTCAGGAGAGGGAGAGCGCTCCGTTTATTATTCCCGTGTTATTGTAAATTACTGTACACTTTTGAATAATGTAGTTAATCTACTATAATTAGTTCGTTTAATATCGAATCATATCAATTTGTTTTAAAGCTCAATAAATAACAAAGAAGACCTTTGACCGGCACTTTTCTCATTTTGTCCGGAAGATTTAAACTTTAACGGACATGTTGACCGGCGAAAAAATATTCTAACGGGAACTCTGGTAGCTGCACAAATCACAGAAAAATCTTCAAGGCACTCTCTTTTTTAAAATGCAGATATTTTAATGGCATAGTCGTCATTTTACATTTTAAAACTAATCAAGAGCAGTTTGGCATTGAGTCTTTTATCAGCGAGTCAAACACATCTCAAGGGAAAAGTTATGTTTTTTAAGTAAATGGTGTAATTGATGTCATAATGATACATTGAAAGCTGAACAGCAACATAGTTAACACAGAAAACAGCAATAATTACAGAACACAATAATACATATATGTATATGAGTCTGAAACTTGTTAAAGAAGTCATTCTAACTAAGACATTCTACCCGAATAATCCGCCCATGTAATGGAGCACGGTTTCACAAATCTATTTTTGTTATTTAACTGCAGTTTTTTTACTCTCTGAAAAGCTGTTTATACAACTGTACCACAGAATAACTTGGCAATAAAGTGAAAGACTAAAAAGCAAAAGAAAGAAACTCCTCTGAAAATTCTCTACACACCGGACATTTTGGCTCCGTCACCTCCTGCTATTCTAGTCTGCAGAGACTATTACTGAACATCTTGGCAGAATGGCTGATCCATGTCACTTACAGTCATGGTGTCTTTGCGTCAATCACTGCATCCAACATGATCTGAATCGTATTTGTCCGTAAGCAGCGCTGATATTCACACAGGATGCACACAGCTGGTTGACTCTGAATGAGGGGGAAATATAAACAGTGTCATCAATAACCATCTGCAGCTAATTCAGATCCTCATTATCATTGGACACTTTAGGCAAGTATGACTATCTTCAGTTGGTAGTACTGCTTGTGGGTCTTCAGATTACTTTAAGGCTCAAGCCCCGCCCCCAATCATACATTTTAGTTTTACACCTTTAAGAACCTTATGATTTAAATAAGGGTATACAAGTGGACGTACTGGGCACTTCATTGGGTCTTGGAAGGGGCAGGTGGCTGAGGTGTCTCTTGCATTGTGCTCCCAAAACAGCTGGGAGTACTGGTGTGGGAAGAAAGACCCCTGGACTGGCCAGCTGAAGTGTCTGGACCTCTTCCCTGACACTTAATAGTTCTAGGCAAAAATAGTTCTCACAGGTTCGAAATAATTAACAGGAGGTAATCAAAGTACCATGCAAAGGTACTTTATTTTGTCAATGACAGAAAACAAGATCCGAAGAGACCCTATACGATTATACTGCTATGCAACAGTTGTATCAGCATATTTAAAGCTAAAGCACCCTTGTTCCCCATTGGTTGACTTTGGTGAAAGACTATGTTACACTTCCCACATATTTTTTCTAATTATGTCCATGGTTAAGTTATGGCTAACTTGAACGAAACTTGAACTATCATGTGGGAGGGGGATTTTCACTATTTGTACGTTTCCTCCTGTAGCTTTGCACGGCAATAACTTCCTAGAATGTGACGGAAAAGTTTAACCTGAATACCTAAAAGGAACCCATCGCTTAACCTTGACACTCTTATATCTGCAGTTTGTTAAGTGTGGAATTGGTACTGCATTATTTTGGTGGTGATTCTGGTCACGTCAAAACAATGGTGTTGATCAAATGTCATTCCAGCTGATGCTTTCATGTGAAGATCTTGATAATGTTGTTCCAGGTGTATGCTGTAGGTGGCTATGCTATGTTACAGGTGTACTGTTATGGTTTAGGTGTTTTGCTTTCTCCTCCTCCCCTATGTCTTCTCTCTCTCTCCTGTGCAGTGTGGTGATCGTTAGAAGGCTCAGCTGGTTCACAATGAGGAGCACCTGTACTCATCTAATCAACTCCTCCAAAAAACGATAGTTACGGCTGTAACTACGGTTCTATGAGTCCCGGATGACTGCCAGAGGCGGTGCTTTAAGCACTGGATATGTCCATCGTGCGCATGCGCAGCTCGAGTACCAATAACAACAAAGTCACCTGTGACCCACGTGACACCGGCTATATCAGCCGGTGTCGTCAGAGGATCTGTTCCCAGAATCTTCTCGCGAGCACACAAGAATTCTGAGTGACAGGAAACTCTGGCGGTCATCCGGGACTCATAGAACCGTAGTTACAGCCGTAACTATCGTTCTATTTCGTCCCTACTGACCGCCAGAGGCGGTACTTCAAGCACTGGATGACTTATACCAACAATGTCATGAAGAATCCAAGCCCTTGCTCACCACTGGAAGCAGCGGAGCTCGGCAAAAGGACCACGCCCAAAGAATGGGGTGTGGCGACATTGACCTGATGACAACTGGAGAATATGCCAGAAGACGCCCACGACACCGCGGCGCAGATGGTCTCCAGGGGCACCACCCTCAGGGCAGCCCAAGATGTTGAGATACTCCTTGTAGAGTGGCATCTCAGCCCGGTGGCATCTCAGCCCGGTGGCATCTCAGCCCGATGGCAGGGGGCGGCCACTGGCCCCGTAAGCCTGTGAGATGGTATCGACAACCCAGTGGGGCAGCCACTGGTTAGAGGGCATAACCTCCTTTAGTGCCGCCAGGGCAAAATCAAGAGTTGCTCCTTCTGCCGTATACAGGCAGTAGCCTTGATATACGCCCTTTGGGCACCCCCAGGGCACAGCAACTTCGACGTGCCGTACCCCTGTATGTCAAAGCGTGCCAGCTGGGCAGGCTGCTTGAAGTGGGTTTGTGGAAGGACCCCGGGCAGGAATGCCACATTTGCCCAAAGGGCAACGCCTGAGAGTCCCACCTCGGGCATGTATCGTTTATGGAGAGGACATGCAACTCCCCGACTCGCTTCCCTGAGGCTATGGCAAGCAGAAATGCTGCCTTCGTGGGCAGCCACCTAAGCCCCACCTGGGCCAGGGGCTGGAAGGGAGGAGATGATAGGGCATCCCATCCGGCAGCAGGGGCAGGTCCCGAGCCGGAGCCCTCGGGGTGCTAGGGGGACGCTGCCGTAAAGCCCCTCTCATAAAGAGGGACACTGACCTGTGGCACCCCACCGTGGCGCCATGTCGGGCAGAAATAGCAGTCACATAAATTCAGAGTGGAGTGAGAACGTCCACTATCTAGAAGGGACTGTTGTCTAAGCAACAACGTACATGCTTTCCCCAAGGAACACGCACATTCTTGTCCCCCAGTTGGGGTAGAAAGTCTGTGAGTGC